TGCTCGCGCCTTGTAATATTAACCTGCCCTTTGCGTTATCGAGTACACAGAAGCAAAAAACTTTTTGTTTTATAGCCTTTATTCAGGGATTATAATCGCAACTTGTACTAGAACATGAGTCGTTGGAGTAGGAATGTTTTGACAAAGAGCTGTTAGCTTCCATACGGCTGGGAGCGAATAAGGAAGCACAGTTTGCAGTTCACCTCACTTTAAAATTATAAAAATAGGTTGAAGTTAGAGTTGATGTTATTTGTCAAGTTACAATGGAATTTTAAAGTCGATTTTCTGGTTTCAACCCACAACGTTTCACAAATAGTTTTAAATGTTTTTAGCCTATGCGTTTATTTGCGAGTTATAAATTTTGCTAGAACTCATTTTGGGCTAAAAATCTGTAGAGCGCATATGGAGTTATTAAACAGTTTCAAGTTAGTGGCCCCTATCGCTGATACTTCGATGATATGAAACGCTTCACATCTAGGGCCCGTACAACATGGGTAATGAGGAAAATAGATAGCATGACACAAATACTTTCAGAATTCAGCCACATGCTTTCTCTGGTATTTTTGGCAGCTGTATTTCTTGCCGCAAGCGCAACTGATGATCCGAAAGGTAGTAATTGTGCGTTTTTGTACGTCTATGCAAATAGAAAGAAAGCATTTTGGCGAAAGGTCACCGGTGTCTGTGGGTGTGTTCGGATTCTGTCACTAACTTTCAACTCAGCAATCGGAAAAGTTAGAAAGCTCACGAGGATATTCTTTGCCCAAGTGCGACCCGAATAACTTAAAACTAACGCTCTGGTATACCTCCGTCACAAGGAGGAATGTCTAAAATAGAAAATGTAAATTTTTTGGAGAGAAAGGGGCTTCCAAAACTAGGCCAGACTGGGAGCTGAAACTTCATAAAGATATTTTTTGCCCCGGTATGTGCCAAAGATTTCAAATTCAACTTTAAAGCACGCATGAGTCATGCACACGGCCATGTCAAAGTTAAATTTAGAAATCTGTGGCAAAATGCTAGCTCAAGAAATATGCTGAGCTGAGCAAAATACGCTGGTTTTAAATGAACATTTACTCGCTATGTCGCCAAGTCCGTGAACATGAAATTGGCTTTCGCGTACGCTTGTATCACGCTTACAGGCATAACAAATATATTCGTGGAGAAATTCAATTTGAGCAATTTAAAAAAATTGAAGAAAAAACTGCCTGGCTTCTACTTTTTAAGTGAATTATAATTCATTAGATGCATGCTCGGCTTTCACTTTTCAGTCCCTTTCTCCTGCTTTATCGAATTAAATTAGTAGTTTTTAGTATGAATTAAGCAACTTTAATGATCTTCCATCCG